ACCGGGAACCTGGTCAGCTAAAATCCTGTATTCAGCAAAATGATCAGATTTTTATATTGTCAATTCACATATGACTGAAATATGTATTAAAATAATACGTCTTTCATATTTCTTTGTGTATTGTTGGCAATAAAAAAAACCTGCAATTAGATAAATTTTAATGCAATTTTCCCGATCTTAGAAAATGGAGTATTGGTTTTCTTTTAGTTTGGTTGATCTAGAAACCGGATAATTCTTGTTTGTGTTTGAACACTTGTCGACCTGCAAACTGCTGCAGCTCTAGTCCTTAATGTGAATTCCTCAAAAATTTATTAACCTTTATTTAACCAGGCAAATCCCACTGAGATCACAGATCTCTTTTGCAAGGGAGGCCTGGGCCTGAACATGCATGTTTTTGGAGAACGAGCAGCCAGAGGTCACCTCGCTTTGTACCATTTTATTATGATTATTTCCTTTATATTAACATGTTGACTTCTGAAAATTGTATGTATTCAAAAGGATCTTTTTGCTTTAGTTACATTCCTGGATCGCTCAATCCAGGTGTGCACGTACCCACTGAGCGCTCGGATCCATACACTCAGACAACAGACTTGATTGCTTCAGGATTGTTGTGAATACACTTAAAGCAGTCACACACTGACGGACCACCAAGGGTTTGACTTGACTCCACAAAAGCAGTTTGTCGAGGAAAAAAGACTGAATTTAGAAATGGACGTTATTAAAGTTGAACAAAATTAAAAGAAACAAAGAGCAGAGAATAAAATAAAATAAAATAATTTTTCTTGTAAACAATCCATGGGCAGAACGGTGGCGCAACTGGTAGAGCTGCTGCCTCTCAGCTAGAAGGTTGCCTGTTCAAATCCCGGTCCGGGGGCCTTTCTGGGTGGAGTTTGCATGTTCTCTCGGTGCGTATGTGGGTTTTCTCCCACAGACCAAAAACATGCATGTTAGGTTGACTGGTAACTCTAAATTGTCCATAGGTGTGAGTGAGAGAGTGAATGGTTGTTTGTCTCGTTTGTCTCTATGTGTCTCTGTGATGGACTGGAGACCTGTCCAGGGTGTACCCCGCCCCTCGCACAGTGATTGCTGGACATGGGCACCGGTGACCCCGTGACTCAAAATGGAAGAAGCGAGTAAAAGATAATGGATGTGAACAATCCTCATCTGTTAGATGAACTGAGCCTCTGCCTTTTGTTTTGTCCATTGTTACCATGGAGAAACAGATTATTGTGTTTCACTGGGTCCCCTGAAGTCAACAGATGGCTCAGAGACGACTGCAATATGGAAGGAGAAAATGTGGCACAGTGCTTCTCCCTCCTCCACTCAGCCGTGCACTGCTCGTCCTGTTTACTGATTACTGTCATTGTTAGATGAAATTTATCCAGAAACCATGAACTCTCAGTGTTTGTTCAACTGCACTGCCCCAAGTTCTTTCTGATTCAGATGTCATAATAGTCCTGGCAGTATCACTGCATGGTCCACAGGCCTTTAGTTATTTTTGGCTGATTACCCCCCACCCCCCGTCTGTGTTGATACAGCCTGAGCTTTATTTGCTTGTCCACCCTGATCCCCTCTCCGAACAGACTACAGTAGCTAACTGTCGCTGAGACACATCTTTGCAGGTTTGCTGAAATAGAAAAACTTCATGAAGAACAATATTTAGACACTCTGTGATAAACAAGTAAATTAATTTGCTGTAGTGAATTACAGATACAGTGCATCCAGAAAGTCTTCACAGCGCTTCACTTTTTCCACATTTTGTTGTTACGGCCTCGTTCCAAATGTATAAAATTAATATTTATTCCAAATGCTACACACAATAATACTCCATTATGACAACATGGAAAAATATTTTCTGAGATTTTTGTAAATTTATTAAAAATTAAAAACTAATAATCACATTTGCGTCAAGTATTCACAGCCTTTGTCATGAAGCTCCAAATGGAACTCCGATCCATTCTGCTTCCACTGATCATCTTTGAGATGTTTACAACTTTAATGGAGTCCACCTGTGGTCGGTTCGGTTGATTGGACTTGATTTGGAAAGGGACACACCTGTCTGTGTCTATAAGGTCCCACAGTTGACGGTGCCCGTCAGAGCACAAACACCAAGCATGAAGTCAAAGGAATGGTCTGCAGACCTCTGAGACAGGATTGTGTTGAGGAACAAATCTGGGGAAGGATACAGAAACATTTCTGCTGCTTTGAAGGTCCCAGTGAGCCCAGTGGCCTCCTCCATTCACAGATGGAAGAAGTTTGGAACCACCAGGACTCTTCCTAGAGCTGGCCGTCTAAGCTGAGCAATCGGGACAGAAGGGTCTTAGTCAAGGAGGTGACCAAGAACCTGATGTCACTCCGTCAGAGCTCCAGAGTTCCTCTGTGGAGAGAGAACCTTCCAGAAGGACAACGTCTCTGCAGCAATCCACCAGTCAGGCTTGTATGGTAGGGTGGCCAGACGAAAGCCACTCCTTGATAAAAGGCACATGGCAGATCGTCTGGAGTTTACCAAGACTCCTGAAGGACTCTCAGAGCACGAGAAACAAACTCCTCTGCTCTGATGAGACAAAGATTAAAACTCTCTGGTGTGAATGTCAGGCGTCGTGTTTGGAGGAAACCAGGCACCGCTCTTCACCAGGCCAGCACCATCCCTACAGTGAAGCATGGTGGTGGCAGCATCATGCTACGAGGATGTTTTTCAGCAGCAGGAACAGTCAGACCAGTCAGGATGGAGGGAAAGATGAATGCAGCAACGTACAGAGACATCCTGGATGAAAACCTGCTCCAGGTGCTCTGGACCTCACACTGGGAGACGGTTCAATTTTCAGCAGGACAACGACCCAAAGCACATGGCCCGCATGTTAAAGGAGGGGCTTCAGGACCACTCTGAAGGTCCTGGAGGGGCTTCAGGACCACTCTGTGAAGGTCCTGGAGGGGCTTCAGGACCACTCTGTGAAGGTTCTGGAGGGGCTTCAGGACCACTCTGAAGGTCCTGGAGGGGCTTCAGGACCACTCTGTGAAGGTCCTGGAGGGGCTTCAGGATCACTCTGTGAAGGGCCTGGAGGGGCTTCAGGACCACTCTGTGAAGGTCCTGGAGGGGCTTC